TCTGCGCCGTCTTCCGAGCTGGATCGATGTGCGAGGGTCCTCGGGCCCGAAAGCCCGGGGAAACCGGCCGGTGCGAAGAGAGCTGCAGCGCCTCTCAGGAGGCGAAGAGGGGGACGACGAGGAAAGCGAGGAGAACGAGGACGGGAGGGGGACGACGAGAAAAACGAGGATCTCAAGAGGGGGACGGCGAGGAAAGCGAGGAAGGGAGGGGGGCCGACGCCCCACCGCAAGCCCCAGCCGGGAGGGGGGTCCTCGGGTAACCCCGACCGACCGTGCTCTTGGGCGACCGCCTCGGCGCCCTGCTCCTGGGCGGCGCCGGCCGCGGAGAGGCCCTCCCCCCCAAGAAGGGGGGGGAGGAAAGCTCGGGGCGGGACGGACCCATCCAGGGGGAAGGAAGGCTTCCCCCCCCCCCAAGGAGGGGGCGGGGGAAGGAAGCCTTCCTCCCCCCCAAAGGGGGGGGGAAGGAAGGCTCGGGGTGGGACGGACCCATCCAGGCGTTGCTCTTTTTGCGGAGGCTGGGCGAGGGCTGGCAAAATCGTGGCTGCCAAAGCAATCTTCCCGGAAGAAGAACACGACCTCCCGGAATCAAGCTCAGCGCACCGAACAGTGAGCGGGCTGCTTCCCGGAATAACGAAACAACAATTACCCAGAGCTCCGTTTTAGCAGCCACGGGTTTGCTTCCTCCTTCCTCCTTCCTCTTTCCTCCTTCCTCCTTCCTCCTCCTCCTCCTCTTCCTCCCCCAGATTCACGCCTTGCCTTATCTGGGTGCGGATCTGTCGGTCTGTGAATCTGTCCGTCAATCCGACTATCGTGTCTTTGTCTCTCGCGCGTCGTGCCGTGGGTGTCAACGGTCGGGAACGTTTGCTCAACGCGTCGCCGCGGCGGCCCTGGCGACACGCTACCCTGAGAGCCGCTCGGCGGGGCGGGAAGCTCAGGAGAGCTAGTGACGTTGACGACTCGGGACAGTGAAATGGACAGCGTGTCGCACCGAGGCGCGGTGGGCCAGAACCAGCGGAGCGACACGCTATCCAAAAGCTCCCGACCGTAGAGCCACCGCGGGCATTGGTAGGGACGCCCACCGAGCCGCCACCAAGCGCAGCTGGGGGGGGGATCGAGGCGGGACGAGTTCCAAGCAACTCCTCCTACTCCTCCTCCCTCCTCCTCACTGTTTCTCCTCCTCCCTCTGCCTCGTCCTCCTCCTCCTCCTCCTCCTCCTCCTCCTCCTCCTCCTCCCCCCTCCCCTTCCCTCCCCTTCCCCTTCTTGTCCTCCTCCATCTCCTCCCTTTTTACGCTGCATGGGCGTCAGTAGAGCGTGAGGCGTCGCGTGCTAGCCCTCCTCCTCCTCCTCCTCCTCCTCCTCTCATCCTCCTCCCCCTCCCCCTCCTCCTCCCCCCTCCTCCCCCTCCCCCCTCCTCCTCCTCCTCCTCCTCGTATTATTAGTATTCGTCTTATTAGTATTTGTCTTATGATTATTATTATTATTATTATTATTATTATTATTCGTCTTCGTCTTCTTCATATTATTATTATTATTATTATTCTTATGATTCTTCTTCTTCCTCTTTCTCTTCCTCTTCAGCTTCCTCTTCCTCTCCTCCTCCTCCTCCTCCTCCCTCCTCCCTCCTCCCTCCTCCTCCTCCCTCCTCCCTCCTCCCTCCTCCTCCTCCCTCCTCCCTCCTCCTCCTCCCTCCTCCCTCCTCCCTCCTCCTCCTCCCTCCTCCTCCTCCCTCCTCCTCCTCCTCCTCCTCCTCCTCCTCCTCCTCCTCCTCCTCCTCCTCCTCCCCCTCCTCCTCCCCACTCCTCCTCCTCCTCCTCCTCCTCCTCCTCCTCCTCCTCTCTTCTTCTTCTTCCTCCTCCTCCTCCTCCTCCTCCTCCTCTCCTCCTCCTCCTCCTCCTCCTCCTCCTCCTCCTCTTCCTCTTCCTCTTCTCTTCCTCCTCCCCCCCCTCCGCCTTCTCCTCCTCCTCTCCTCCTCCTCCTCCTCCTCCTCCTCCCCCTCCTCCTCCTCCTCCTCCGCCTCCGCCTCCTCCTCCTCCTCCGCCTCCGCCTCCGCCTCCGCCTCCGCCTCCGCCTCCGCCGCCTCCTCCTCCTCCTCCTCCTCCTCCTCCTCCTCCTCCTCCTCCCTGTAATCGCTCCCCCCTCGAACATGTTCCCACGTTCCCCTCCAGAAGAGGGGTGGGGGAAGGATCGAGGCGGGGCGATCTCTTGTCCCGCTCGGCTCGCCACCAAACCTCCCCTTGTCGGGGAAAACATGTAACGGGAGGTTTGTGGCGATCCTGTCGGCCTCCAGGGGCCGTCACAGGGCCCCAGGACAGCCTGAAGACAACTCGGGATACAAAGCGGGCCACGGGGAAGCGGTCCAGACCAAAGCACGACGCTGGAGATCTGGGACCACGAGGGCGCTGCGAGGCATAGTCGAAGCGAGGCCGCAGGAGAGCGTGGGTCGAGATCACGATGGCCTCCGCCGAGGGCCCACGGCCCCGTGGAGGTGCTCAAGACGGAGACCGTTCCAGGGCGGAGGGCCCAGACGCGTGGAGCACGAGGTCGTGCCGTCTCAAGCCGAGGCTGTTCTTGGCCCTCATGCCCACAAGCATCGTGCTGCAATGCGGAACGCCGCGTCAGGAACGAAAGGGCTTGTCGGGCCACGAGGAGGCGTCGGCCCGGCCCTCCACGCTCGACCCCGGGAGGGGGGAGGACCGTGCGTGTAAGACGATCGACGGACGGCCAGTGCATGTTTACTTTCGTCGGAGCCCTTCTCGACGCCTGAGTTCCTGCGGAAAGGCACTGTGCGCGATGCGGGCAACGACGTGGTTGCGACGACAGGAGGCAGAGACAGAGGGCAGGCGACGAGGACACGGGAGTAGGAATGGCGGAGGGACGAGGTGTTGTGTGGGGTAGGGGGTGCATGGCGGGGATCTCATCCTCTTGGTCGTCGTCCTCCCCCATCCTCCTGCTCTTGCCTCCTCCTCCTCCTCCTCCTCCTCCTCCTCCTCCTCCTCCTTCCCCCCGGAGAGGGAGCGAGGGGGGGCTGTGGAGGGGCACCGTCTGTACATGATCCCGGGCTCCAGGCCCGCGGGCCCCTCCCCCAGAGGGGATGGGTCTCGGGGTCCCTAGGCCCCCCCCCCCCTGATGGGATGCGACGGAACGACGACGACGACGACAACGGCGACGACGACGACGGCGACGATGACGGCGGTGACGGCGGTGATGACGACGACGGCGACGACGACGACGACGACGACAGCGGCGACGGCGACGACGGCGACGACAGCGACGACGACGGCGACGACGACGGCGGCTGCGACGACGACGACGACGACGAGGGGGGCCAGATCCTGGACCATACATCTACACGGGTCCTGGCCCAACCCGGGCCAAGGATCGGCGCACGCCCTCTGGGCCAATGCCAGGACTGCCCATTCACCTATGCACAGATTCTGGGCTCGGGATGGGCATGCTCAGGACCAGTCCAGCTTATATACCTCACGCCCTTCGAGGGGAGGGGGGGAAGGGAGAGAGAGCGACGGGGGACGGGAGGGGGAAAGAGGTTATCCCAGACCTTCAACGAGTTGAGAAATCATGGCGGAGACTTTCGCACTTTTCGGCCTCCCTCTGGGGGCCGAAGAGCGCTCCAAGACAATCAAACAACGATCGGGCTCCGGGATAATCAATCACAATCAAAACAATCCCCTGGAAACCGCCCAGAGGTCTAGGGGCCACATATGAGCGACGAAAAGGAGCGAGTCTTTCGTGAGATGCCAAAGCGACCTTACGCGGTGGCTTACGCGGGTTGCCAACGGGGCAGGTTGCGCTGGAAACGAGGGCGCTTAGGCGCGACCTTCTGCGGGCAACTTACGCGCGACTGTCGGCGCAGACCCCGTTTTCTTCCGTTGCTCATACGGACGAAACACGAAGGAGAGGAGGAGGCAGAGAGGACGAGGAGGGAGGGAGACGGGGGAGATGGATGAGGGGGGAGGGAGGATGAACCGGAGGGGAGAGGGAGAGGGGAGGTAAAGCAAATCTCGCCTTACGCCAACCTCTTGGCTGCAGTCAAGCTCTCAGCCCCAGGGCGTGGGTTTGGAACTTGAGCCAGAGTGGCTACGGCCCCATCCTCCGCTCTTTTTCTTTATAATTATTTCCGCCCAGTCGCACTCCGAGGCGTGTCGGTAGGGCGGGCCGGGCGTTTCGCCTAAGACTTCTTCGCCAATTGTGATCCTGAAGCTTAGAACTTGTAGCAATTTCACCAACAGAAAGCGGGCCGCTTTCAAAATGAGGCTCTCGCCTTAACGCCGCGCACATTCGTTAAACAAAAACTTTGAGAGTGCAGGAGCTTCACGGATGGAGGGCGGTCCGCTTTCAAAATGTGGCTCTCGCCTCAGCGCCGCGCACATTCGTGTTACACATTTGCAAGGGTTTCACGGATGGAGGGCGGTTGATGACAATGTGGTTCTCGCCTTAGCGCCGAGCACATTCGCATTTAAACAAGCAAGAGCTTCACGAATGGAGGGCGGCCCGATTTCAAAATGAGGATCGCCTTAGCGCCGCGCGCACTCGCATTCAATCTTGCAAGAGGTTCACGTACGGAGGGCGGTTTCTTAAAATGTGGCTCTCGCGTCAGCGCCTCGCACATTCGTTGAAAGAGTTTACAGCAGTTCCAAGGATTCTCATGGTGAGCGCTCCAGGAAAGACGTTCGGGCACGACGTCGGAATGTCAGGGCGCATCAGTTCTGCTGATTCGCGGTGCTGAAGTCCCAAGGAGGGTGTTCCGACACGATTCAGGATCGTACGCAACAGTAGAAATTCGCGGCGTTGAAGTCCCAGGAATGGCTTCCTGGCACAATTCATGATTTTCCATCGTTTGTCACGGAAGGGGGAATTCCTTCAGCCTGTCAAGAGGGATCTTGGAGGGATGATTTAATGCAATCTCGTGGATGAGTCTTGGATTTAGACTAGTCCTCCTCCTCCTCCTCTTCCTCCTCCTCCTCCTCCTCCTGCTGCTCTTCGGCTACATTTCCTAGGGCTCGTACCGTTGAAGTCCCAGGAATGGTGTCCTCGAGCCATTGAAAATCGTCGAAACGAAATTGCCAAATTGTTTCACGGTGTTGAAGTCCCAGGCATGGGAATTTCGCGCGACTTCGGATTGTCGGGACGTATCAGTCACAATGATTTGCGGCGTTGATGTCCCAGGAATGGTGCTCCTGCACGATCGAGGATTCACCGAAGGTTGTCTTCAAATGGAACACTTATGCAGTGAACATACACTCTTGTGTGGACCTGCGAATAGAGAAGTTGGAGGATGGTCTATTGCAACATCGTTGATGCGTCTCGGGGCTGCCTTGGTCCTCCTCCTCCTCCTCCTCGCCCTCCTCCTCCTCCTCCTCGCCCTCCTCCTGCTCCTCCTCGCCGTCCTCCTCCTCCTCCTCCTCCTCCTCCTCCTCCTCCTCCTCGCGTCCTCTTCGCCCTCGTCCTCTCTCCTCCGTCCCCCACGAGGCCCGCGCGTGCGCGCGCAGAAGCCGGCGGCCGGCGCCTCCAACCGCCGGGAGTAGAGCCCGGCCGCCTGCCAGAGGTCCCCGCGCTCGTAGGCGAGGTCGCCCAGCCGCTTCCACGGCGTGGGGGGCGGCTCCATCCTCGGCTCTCTGGCCCCCCCCCCTCGTCGTCCTCCTCGTCGTCCTCGTCCTCCTCCTCGTCCTCCCCCCCGGGCCGACGCCGTTCCATCCTGGTTAAGGGGAAAAGCGCAAGGGACGCCGGGTGCGCCACTGAGAGTTCGTGGGTCCCGACGAGTACCCTTGCGTTACCCCTTGTCCAGGGAACGGCAGGGCGACAATGGCGTAGGAAGTTGGTCCGCTTTGATGGCCGGGAATCGGCCTTTATGCCGTTGCGGGCGCGGCGACGAAACCAGTACTGGAATCCTGTGGGGACCACTTCGGGTTTGGATGGCCATTCCTGTAGAATGACAGGGGTTGGCATCAACCACCTCGAGCCCGCAGCTAGCACGCAGATGCAGGATATTCGAAGTACCTGGTCCGCGTAAATGGCCGCACTTCGGCCATCCTGCCGTTGCGGCCGCGGCAAATTCAGGGCCAGCCCTGTAGATGGCCAGTGCTGGTGGCTAGCCGTTGCGGGCGCGGCAAATGCATGCCACTACTGGTATCCCGTGGGGGGCACATTTGGCTTGGATGGCCACCCCTGTCGATGGACAGGCGTTGGCATCCAAAGGCGGCGCTCCGAAGGGGGCAGGAGGGCGGGGCTTCGCTTCTCAGCAGGCAGGGTGCTTCTCTGAAGCCCTGGGAAGACTTCTCTTTCGTCCTCCGGGGGGTTCTGCGAATCACGTCTCTTGCTAGATAGCCTTGCCCAATTTCCCCCCTGGCCCCTTCGGCGCGCCGGCAACATCTCGAGCCCGCAGGCAGGATGCCTAAACCTGTTTTTTGGCAGGCCTGACGTCCAAACCCTCGCCCGGGAGTTGCTAGAAGTACCCATGGGAGAAGGTGCCCCCAGGATCGGAGGCCCTCGGGGAGCAAGTCGAGCCAAGAACCGGAATCGGACAAAGACTGAGTCTTCGCAATTTGCGCGGCTCGAATCAGCCTCCCGCGGAGCAGCCGCGCGGCCGCGCGAACGAACGGTCGCCCGCGAGGCCTCCCGCCCCATAGCGCCAACACGTACGACGACCCATGCCGAAACCCCCGCGCAGAGACCTTGCAAAGAACCCTGCAGTCACTCCGCAAACAAAAATGCCAATACCACAAAGAGACAATTGCAAAAACCTCGCCGGGAACCTTAAGAAAACCTTGCGCTGCCACGCAATACCCTGCGAGAGACCCTGCCATGCGTCGCAATGCCCCGCAGCTGGACCTGCGATACCTTGCAAGTGCCCTTCAATCTCTCCAGCACCCAGCCCTCTGGGCGTAAAACGTTTGAGGCATCCTGCCTTCGCTGGGGGAGCCCTCTCGGCCCCCCCCCCGAGGCTTCTGGAAGGCCCCAGGGGGGGCTCCAAGACAGTCCCTAGAGGACGCCGAGAGAAGCCGGAGAGGGCCCGAAGGGGCCCCAAGAGCGGCCCAGGGGGGCTCCGAGGGGGCGCGCGACGCATCGCGCCAAACTCCGTCTGGCGGAATTCGGCGCGACGCTTGCTAATGCCGAGCGGGCGTTTACTTTGGGCTCTCTGCAGGCCCTCGCAAGCCCCGCTCTGCATTTTCCGGGAATTCCTCGGGGCCCCCCTGGCCGCGTGATATCGTCGGGGCCCAGGCCTCAACGATACCATTGGAACAGGCTATCGCATGGAATCGCGGGGGTCTGAGCCCCGAAGCTATCGCGCGGCCTAGGGAGGGCCTGCAGGGACCCCCAAGAGGGCCCCGAGAGAGCCCCCGCGACCATCTTGGGCCCTTTGCGCGGCCCTGTGTGGGTGGGGGCTCTCCTGGGGCTCCTGGCGACGACTGAGTTGGAGCTATTCTGCCATTCCCCCCCTTACACATCCTTTTTTCCGCGGGCAGCGGCTGCCCCGTTTTGCGTTTCACCGCGCGCTGCTACGCTTGCCTGATCACGGCGGCTCGCCCGGGCAGCTTCTCTGAACGGGGCGGCGGGGATGCGCGAAACGACCGGAATTCAAGGACTGCCGCAAAGCATCGTCGTAGCGAGTGAGGACGCTGCGAGTGAGCCACAGGCCCCCCCCGACCTTGGCCTGACCATCATATTTTGGCCTCCTCGCAGTTCAGCCTTCAATGGCGTCGCGCCGACGCTCGCGCGCGGCCTCAATGAGGGTCTCCGCGGCCCGCCACCGGGCAGCAACCTTGGCAGCGGGGTCTGCGGTGCCTTCTGGGAGCTCGCTCGTCCACCCCCCGAAAAACCTGCAGAGGGGCCCGAACGATCCCAGAGCGCGGGTACTAGCCGACTACCTTACCATGCCCCTTGGGCGCTGCGTAATGGGGGGGTCATAAATGGGGGGGTGGCGAGTGATAAAGCCCGCAGTAATGGTCATCTCAACACGTTCTGGGGCTGCGATGATTTGCGCGAAGAAAAGACGCGGGCACGGTTGGAAACGAAACGTAGACGAATTTCAAGTGATAAACAAACATATTATAGCGATTTCAATATATTTTCAATTATACGAAACAGAACACGCAATTTCAATACATGCCCAGCCAGAAACGGTTTTCAGAACACACAAGAGCCTCAAAAGGGCAGTATGAACAGATAGCGAAAAACAAATCCACAAACGCTCGTAGATGTCCAGCCAAAGGCCCCAAAGGCCCCAAAGGGGTAGTGGATAGCGGCAGGGAGGGAGCACGCGGGTTACGTTGATTGCCAATGTTTGCGATATGTTTTCAGGGGTAGCCTGAATGTGTTTTTCGCGAAGTAAGCTGGACCGAACTGAATGGACTGAGGGGCGTTTTATTCTCGGCAGCTGAGGGCGCAACCTATGGCGCAACCATTAGGAGGACGTTTTATTCTCGGCGGCCGAGGGCGCAACTTATGGCGCAACCAATCCGAGGACGTCTGATCTTCGGCGTCCAAGGACGCAACCGATGGCGCAACCAATCGGAGGACGTTTTATTCTCGGCGGCCAAGGGCGCAACCTATGGCGCAACCAATCGGAGGACGTCTGATCTTCGGCGTCCAAGGACGCAACCTACGGCGCAACCAACCAGAGGACGTCTTATCCTCGGCGGCCAAGGGCGCAACCTATGGCGCAACCAGTCGGAGGACGTCTTATTCTCGGCGGCTGAGGGCGCAACCTATGGCGCAACTAATCGGGGGACGTTCTATTCTCGGCGGCCGAGGGCGCAGCCTATGGCGCAACCAATAATCAATAGGAGGACGTCTTATCCTCGGCGGCTGAGGGCGCAACCGATGGCGCAACCAATAGGAGGACGTTTAATTCTCGGCGGCGCCAGCGGCGGCGGCGACGACGAGCGCCGCCACCGCGCCGACTCGAGGCGGCGACGACCGCACCGATGTGGCCCAGACTGATTGGACTTCGAACTGCGTTTGGGCTGGCCGCAGGGGCCAAGAGGCGAGCTGTCTTGTGATTTGTTGCCTTTGTGCCGAGCTGTTTTGGCTTTGGCTCATGACTCATGCCAGTGGTGGCGTGGACATACCTGCCTAGTGCACTCGCCGCCCGGCGATGGCGCAGAGGCTGGACAGATCGCCAGAAAGACCGCCTACACAATCTATGCAACGGCGGGCGGGGGGTTCTTTTTACATGAGCGACAGAGACAGAGAGGGCATGGGGGGACACACGAGCGTCGGAATGTGCTCGGGCATCTTGAGATGGGGGGCCAGTTGGAGGGTGAAAGAGGGGGTCTGCAACAGGGGGTCTTCAATGGGGGCTGACTGGCCCATGTCTGCTCAATGTATCGTTCATGTCTGTGATCGGGTACGATTGGCATCCAATGCTGGCGGTCATTGATGGCCAGTCATTCGTGCCCGCGCGTTGCCCGCGCGGGCACACGCGCCGTCCATCCATTATCGTTCATGCGTGCAGGCGTTCTTGCATATTGCGTGTGGGCCAGCGAAGTGGAGTGCAAGTGTGTCTTGATTGTGCGGTTGATGATCGCGTATGTTCCCAAACGATGACTTCTCGACCCCCAAGACAAATTTGGAATGGGCCCCGCGATTCTCCCAAAATGTGGATTCACATTTTCCGTTTTCCCAAAATGTGAATTCACATTTTCCTTTTTCACAAAATGTGAATTCACATTCTGGCCCCTTTCATAAAGAATCCCAAACAAAATTCCAAAATGTGAATTCACATTTCCCTTTTTCCCCAAATGTGAATTCACATTTTCCCTTTTCCCCAAATGTGAATTCACATTTTGCCCTGGCCTTCAAGATCCCCAAAAACTGAGGCGCAGTGTTCCGCATGTCAGATTGGCTGGGCAGATTTCGACACTCACCTGACCGCTTTCGTGTGTTCCAGCCTTTTCTTTTTGCGCCCTTAGCGCACGTTGCCTTCGTCGCCTTTCCCAAGCCCCCCGCCCCCTTGCTTCCTTCCCCCTCAAGTCTCGCGCGCGGGTGCAGATGGGGGGTTTCAATTAGTTCCCCCACCGAACACAGCAATCGAGGATGTATCGCCCATTCATGGCCTTAAAAAACCATCATTGCGGGGACCCTGCGCCCGACCCCCACTTTCACCCTCCAAGGCCAGAGAGGGCAATGCGTTTGTCAAGTTGGTCTGGGGAGGCAGTGATATCCCCTCGTGCAGCGAGGGGCACACGTGCACCGCGTTCTGGGACAAGTACTTCAACACGTGCCAAAACAAGCTGGTGGGCCTGGCGTTATTTGACTATGATTTTTTGCATCGTCCAGGGCGGCTTTGTTCGAGATTTCGAGTCCTCACGGCCGAGCAAGACGAAGTTTTGGAATGTTGGGAATCGATTGCGCCAGGATCGAACGGGGGGAGGGATTTGCTTTGAGCTGCGCATGTAATGTATTTGCAGCAATATCAGCGCCACGTCGTTCCAAGCATTTGTGTTTTCGCCACCTTGCCCCACGCAGGGGGCCGTTTGGATTAGGCATTCGCCTTTGAGGATTTGCTGCATGACAGCCTCTCCTGACTCTCCTGGCCCATTGGATTGGGCAGCTGGGCAGGGCAGGAGAAACGTTGGCCTTCGTGAAAGTCGTCGACTACATTATCCTGCCCAACGTGTTTCGGGCTGGTGAGAATCCCAGGACTCCTGAGCCATTGGGCATTGAGTTGTTGGGGGATTTGCGGAAACGCGATCCAAACGTGGCTACTGAGAGGCATCCTTGGCAAGACAGGGGGGTAGGAAGAACAGAAAGTGCAGGGACCAGGATAAGGAATCTGAGGAGGAGGGGGATGAGGCCGACGAGGAGGGAGATCGCGATGGGGACCAGTGGAGGAAGATGTAGAAATGAGGAGGATGAGAAGACGAGGCCGAACGGCCGAATATGATTACCAATGGTGGAAACTCTGTTGTCAGGTTTAGGATGGGAGCGAGGGCGAGAGCGGAGATTGGGGGGGCTCGCCTGCAAGGACATTATGGTTCACTCTGCCGCAGACGCTGGTCGACGACTGCGTGGCTAAATACAGGACGTGGGGGCGTCCGCGCGTCTTCCCTTTCTCTTCCTTTTTGTCTCGCAGGGGGCGCCACCTGTTGGTCTTCCAACTCCGCCGCGCCCCGGCGCACCCCCCCCAAGGTTCCTCCTCCTTGGCCCCCCTCGTCGCCGCCACATTCCTTCCCCCCCGATCCTGCTCCACTTCCTCCTCCCCCCCCCCCACCTCCTCCAACCACCGCCGTGAGCAGCAGCAGTCAGGTTGAGACGGCACTTGTTCATGGCAGCGTCGCCCATCCTCTTCCTACCTCCCTCATCGCCTGGCGCGTAAGCGATCCGCGGAGGGGGCTGGGTACCAAGCGTGGGTAGTGGGGCAGGAACGTCTCAGAGAAGCTCGCGGCCTGGGCAGAGACGTACAACGTGCCATCTGACGTTCCAGACCTAGGCCTCCAATTTCCTGTTGTAAGTCATGGTATGTTGCTGGGTAATGCTGGGGGGTGGAATGTGTACGCGTGGCCACTGGAGGGCAGGAGCAGCAAATTTTTCAATCCTAGAACTCTTCGGGGACGATTGGAACACCTGTTGCCACCAGGAACACACATGATTGAGTTTAACGAAAGATCCCATCGCGCCCGAGCCAAGAGGAGCAAAGAGTGGGACGTAGGCCAGCCCAGCAGCGCCTCGCTACCATGGGCCCCTGAGATGAACGACATTAATTTTTAAAAAGTTGCGGACACTGTGTGTGGGGCGGCTTCGCGCGTCTCTGATATGAGGCCAGATGAGGTAGAGGAGTGGGGCCATTGCGTAGATTGGGCACGATCCATGGCTTCAAGCTTGAGTTCCCGTTCGAACAAAGTTTTCTTATACAGGCAATGGGGTTACGATTTTCCATACTTGCTGCGTGCATTGCTGATGGCATCGGCAGCAGATAACTTTGGGAAGCTCAAAGACACGATCATGCACGCCATCAGGTTAAGTGCCCCCTCGACGATCGCCGAAACTCTTGTCAGACAAATCCTGAACAAGGACCGTTGGACCTAGAAAACTTGTTTCTGGATGTTTTTCCGTGCATCCCGCGCCCCACTTCTTCCATCATGCCTCATCCCTCCTCGTTCTCCATCCCTGCTCCTCTCTCCCAGCTCCCAGCCTCCTCCTCCCTTCCCCTCCCCCCTCTTCCCCCCAAAGCCCACAATCAGATAGCCCATGTCGCTTGGGGTGCCCAGCAGGACCTAGCGCCATCAGCTACTACTCTGAAGCGGCACAAGCTTACTTTGGACGTAGGTTTCCTGATGTACATGCGCAAGGAAAACGAACGCATCCTAGCAGGCAACAGAGTTTCTGTATACCAAAGTTGCGATAGCAGCCCAGTGGGGAAACAAAACATGCTCAACACATGGGTGTGCAAAGTCACGCAATCAGACATGCTGCAACTGTACAATCACACGACATTTATTGCACAGAACAATATTGGAACGTCCAATGACCCAGGCGAAAATCAGGATCTGAACGCCAAGCTTGCCGAGGCCGATTCGTTTGTGAAGAGCAAAATGGCGTACAGCGTTTGCACACCTTGTGGTTTGGGTTCGGCAGGGTCTGGAGTCAAACACAAGATGCATTGCCTTCTACATCAACATTTCCTGGAGTGCGGGTGGGAGCGCTGCGTCCAGACCTTGAACAGCACTGTTTCCTTTACTACCGATTTCGGTGACGAGCACTACCTCGCGACTGCCAAGCCTTTCAAGATCAGCGCGTTCTTCAATTGGGCTCGAACGAGCGACTTCAATCCAGAGGATGGGGTCGGGTCGAGGGGGGTGGGGGGCATGCCCTAGCCGCATGCGCATGCATATGGAGATGGACACGGATGGGGGGATGTATACATATATAGTGAGAGAGGTAGAGAGAGAGAGAGAGAGATAACGATACATGAATACATATGCACGTATACTTGCACATCTGTATATATGTATATATATATACGTAATTGTTACAAAGGTTCGGTGTAAATGGAAAGAGGGTTGAGAGAGGGCGGGAGTAGCATAGATAGTGAGTGAGTGCAGGGAACGGCGCGCGCGATAGAGCTCAGGCCCGCCGCCAACCCTGCAGCTCCAGGCCCTCACTGCTCGCTCGACCCCGCGGCCTCCGGGAGGCACTCGGCGTGGGCGCTGGGGAGAGGTCCCCTCAACTCCTTCCTTCCTTCCTTCTCCCTCCTTGCTCCACTCCTTTCCCTCTCCCAGTATTTTCAAGGCGACCCTGCCCTATTGCCCATGCCCTCGGCCAGACAGCTTGGCGTGGGGGATGGGGGGCGCGCCGCAGGCAGCATAAATGTTTAAACAACTTGCAAAACCATACACCCAATGACCCCCTTTCCAAAAACAAAAAAAAACGTACACCCAACGAACCGTAACTCGCCCTCTTCTCAGGCCCCTCTTGGGGTCCCCCTTTAAAGAAAAATACACCCAACGAGCCGTAAGGCGCCCTCTTCTTGGGCCCCTCTTGGGGTCCTCTTGGGATTTTCCCTGCCGCATCGTGGGGTCCCTGTCAAGGCTCTCCAACGAGCTCCAGGGGGGCCGTCTTGGGGGGCCCTGGAGCCGTCTTGGGCACTCTTGGGGCCTTTAGGGTCGATGCGCGACCCATCTATGCATGTATCCATGTACCTCCTGCTCCTTACTCTGCCAATCCTCGCATCCCATGCTCCCTCCTTGCTCGTTCGTCCTTTCTCCAGCCCCCCTCCTCACCCGCCCATGCCTGTGCCGCCCTCCTCCTTCCATTTTCCTCTACGCGCGCATGCGAGAAGGGGGCGGCGGGGGGCGAGGACTTGCCTGCCTTCCAGATGTGCTCCGACCCCGCCGACTTGACCGAGGAGGCCGCAGGAGATGCAGCCTTTGATTTCCAATCAGATCCGAATTGCATCGAAATTCCAGATATGTCAGAGGAGCCAATGGGTCCAAGTTCGATTGCCCCATACATGGAGGGCCCTGGGGCGTCACGAGAAATCGACGCTGACGCCGTCGATCTGACTTCGTCCCTGAACTGCCCAGGCTCCCCTGGGTCCAAACGATATCCAGTAGGGCAGCAATTTCAAGAATGATCTGCCCCCCACAGGCTGCGCTCGCGCGAAACCCTGGGGCCTTGAGCAGCGGCTCCACCAGGGCCCCCAACAGCTCCTTCATGGCGCAGCGCGCGGCGTAGGCTCCTGCAGGGGCTGGAGCCCACAAGGGGGGAGTCTACAGGGGAGGATTTGGGCGGGCATGGGCGAGAGAGCGACTCCAATATGTCCCAGCCTCTTACGGCCACGCCTTCGCCCCTGCTCCAAGAGGGCCCCAAGAAAAGAAAGGCCCAAGCCCAAGAGGGCCCCCAAGAGTGGCCCAAGAAAAGGTCACCACCCACAGCGGTGACTTGGAATTTGGATCCGTCTTGGGGACCTCCCAGGGCTTTCTCAGGGCCACCTCAGCTATCACATAAACCTGCAAAGGGCATCGAGGGGGTCCCAAGACGACCCCAATATGGTCCCAGGAACGACCCAAGGGGTGGATGAGGGCCCCCCATTGTGACCGCCCACAACGCTGTCCTGGGCCCCTCCTCGGGCCCTCATCATGGGGCCTTCTTGGGCCCGCAACCTTCTTGGAACCTTTTCCTCTCAGAGCCCTCTGGGCCCACTTCCTTTCTCTTTGCCATGGGGATGTTGGGCGCTGCCCCCCTGTCGGATAGGGGGCAGGCATGGGGATAAAATGGCAGGGATGAGATTCGAAACTTCAAATCGCCCATAGGTTTGCTTCATATTTTCGACAACGCCATTGACCAGCTTAAGCAGGCCATGCCCTATTGGACAACTTTCATTGCGAATTTGAAACTTGTTGTTCGGATGGTCCGGCAGCCCCACACCCGCGAACGGATCAAGGAGACGTGTTTCAAGGACCCCCCTGCGTACCACAGGCGCGACGTGCTGGACATAGTAACGTCAACTGTGCATGAGAAGAGGTGGGGCACCATTGCGAATGCCTGCTACGAGCTGGGGCAAGTAAAAGAAGAGTTGAGGCAGTTTTGGGATCTAAAGGCATACTGCAAGGGAAAAGTACCCACGACCAAGCAAATGTCCAAACATGGAAAACATGATGCTTGGAGATTGGACGTTTTGGAGATCAACGACATCATAAAGTCTGATTTCTTTTGGGCATACCGCGCCATGGCAATGGAGATTTTAACAGTCTTGCTCCATCTCATGCATTGGTCTGAGGGCTGCCCATGCCACAGTCGGAAAGAAGCGTTCGCGAATTGGCAGAAACTGATAGGCGCCTCTGCGAGCACCTGCCCCATGGCAGGGAGAAGAGCGCCAAACTTGGCGGCAGGGGAGCTGATGGCCATTCTGAACGAGTTGTGGGACACATGCATTGCTCAATTTCTGATGCGAGAGTGTCGTGCGTTACCGCCTAGCGACAAAGCGACGATTCAGTATGATCCTTTGGCTTCGCCATTGTCCGACCCGTCTGGAATGTTTCTGTTGCCGTCCAAGCGTTGACGGTTCAGAGCTAAGTGATGCGTGAAGCGTGCATGGGTAACGCAATAATCGCGACAGAGATGTGATATCATGTACGTATCGCGCTCATGTGAAAACCGAAATACATTCATGATGTCGTTGCGTCCAATGTGGGCGGTGGTGGGGAGGACAGCGCGCGGCCCCAGCGTCAGGATGACGAGAGGCGGTCGGTCTGTCGGCCAAGGTTCGCCACATGCTGTCGCCAGGCAGCCTCTGGCTGCTGTGTGGAGTTGCACTGTGGAAGATCTGCATTTCACATGTATGTCATGATGAAGATTTCATCATCTTGGCAGTCTCTCCCACTTGTGATGTGCGGTCTAGGTCATTTCGATCTTGCCGTTGCTCGCGAGGTAGGCGCTAAGGTTTTGCAGTTGTTCGAGTCGCTGGGCGAGGGCGCCGACGCGCACGCGCTTGTATTCCGCATTTGCTTGCCAGGTACCCAATGCCGAGACGAACTTAATCGTTTTGTGTCTGGTGAAGACCCAGCGGGTTTGCCAGTGCTGCTTCACTACATGTCTCAATTTCGATTCATTTGCGTCGTGGAAAGGTTGGTCGAAGGATTGCACGCGGTCGTCAGCAAGGGCATTCGACGGGCGCCTCGACATGGGCCTGTGCACGTGGCCCTCAGGCACCACCTTCCAATGATTCAACGGAAGCTCGAGCTAGATAGTGAGTTTCTTGGAGACTTGGCGGCGCAACTCTCAAAGTGTCAAACTCCTATCATGTGCGTTGAATCCTTAGGCATGTCTAACCACGCACTATTTCAGGAACTCCAGTCAACCCACAACGGCAACAAGAGGCTTCTGAATGGCAAGTATGGTAAGGACCTCACTTACCTGATTTACAGGTGGGATGCCCCCACGCAGCATACCTTCAATCCAGCAGTGATCGTTGATGGCATGATCATGATTGGCGACGTGGACTCTGCTCAAGCCGTATTTCCGCCCCCACAGCCGCATGAACCGCCCATGGGGGGGGGCTACATCGTTGGAGACAGTTTTGGAGAGGCATGCGATGGAGTACATGCTAGAAATCTCTGGCCAAAGCGAACTGTTTTTCGTGATGCCGACCGCTCAAGGCAACGACCCCTCAGGGGGCGACCACTCTGATGGCCCCAATGGGAGTTCCTGGTTAAAGGCGTTCAAGCCCATGATAAACCATTTTCAAGTATCTGAGCAGCTCGGTTTAGATTTCGACTTTCAGTCCAATGCCGTGCCAGCGCTGCTGGGCGCTGACGCCGATGCAATGCCAGCGTTGCTGGGTGAAGGCGACGGCGACGGCGAGGTTAGCGCTTTGGTGCCAGTGATGGGCATCCCAAGCGCGGGCCCACAGGACCTCGTCAGCGAAATGATTCAGCAGAATATGTTGGTTTTCACGGTGACGGCGAAGAACCCAGACAAATTTGCACTTGCTCGACAGCCAGGGCATGCCCACGCACAACGCTTTGATGGGAACTCCCTGGTTATAGGTTTCCACCGCGTCGCGGAGACAAGGGACGACTCATTTCTCATTCACGCCGAGCATGCCAGAGGAAGAGCAGGAGTGGGGGATCATTTTGTGCTCAATGCTGGTGTCTTGACGTACCTGCAACTGCAGTCGCTGCTTATGTATAGCCGCCCGCCCAAGGCCACGTACATCTTGGATGGGTACGGGTTCGACGTGAACACAGGTTGCTGTAAGCGCTTGCTCGAACAGTTGGTGTCCGCAGGGGCTAGCGCATTGTCCGCCGACGCGTTCACCCTTGCTCACGACGATCAAAACAAGGATAGCTTAGACATGTTAGGGAAGCTGAGCGGCCTGGAGCTCGTCCATAATCTTAGCACCGACGGTTTTAGGAGCACATGGCAGTTTACCATTAAGGGTGAACGGTTGCTTCGCGAATGTTTTCAGCTACAAGGGCCAGGGGCCAAGGCGCTCTCCATCCGGGACGTGCCTCATGACAGGAAAACAGTGTGGGAGCTATGGCAATGTTTACGGCAAAAGGGGTGGGAACCAAGGCTGACAAAATGGGGAGCTCAGAAACTACAGAAGCTACCTGGCCAGGGAGCGTTCAAAAGAAGCTGCAGCGCCATGGGCGAGGGCGGCAGTGTCGGTCGATCCCAGAGTGGCCATTGTTTGGATGCAATGTTGGGGACGACCGATCTTGCCGTTCTCGCAGTCAGGCGCTGCCGTTTCTTTTGCTTCGCATCCGAGGTGACCCACGGCCTGGCGCAGACTCGAAGGTCTTCTATGTTCAAGAATCTCGCAAGACCGTATCTCATGCTTACCTGCTCGCCTTGCTCTTGAGTGATGAACGAGATGGGGGGCCAGTCCAGCATGGGCTGACAGACCTCAATTACTTGCAGCTTGTGGAGGGGAAACCATTGACAAAGAGGTTTGCAGGCGATCGGAAGGCATTCGATTTCGTTACCTCGATTGGGGATTTCACTGGGAAGCCAGTCAGGAGTCGCGGCAAAAAGCGCAAAGCGCCTAAAGCGCTCGATGCCATTGAGGACGAGCGGGTTGACGGCGGCGAGGGCAGCGAGGAGGAGGGCGAGGACGAAGAGGAGAACGAGGAGGGCGAGGAGTCTGGGGGCGAGGAGAACGGCAGCGAGGCGCGTGGGTCTAAAGGGATCCCTCTGGAAGAAAGTTCTCCCTGCACAACAATCAGACTCTAGCGTGGCCTTCGCCGTGGCTTGCGCCGCCTCAAGGGCGGTGATCAGGGGAGAGGAGGCGAAGAAGACAGGGGGGCGAGGGCTGGGGCGAGGAGGGAGGTTGATGATGAGGAGGGAGAGCTAAGTAGGAGGTAGGAGTGGGCGAGGTTGCAACTCAAGCATTGCCATCGCGACTGCATGTGCTCTCAACGCATCGGCAAACAACACTTGCAAACACAAGTCAGACTTGCAATGCAAATGCGCATGCTCCGGCGGCGGTACCTAGGGTCAGATATCAAGTGGCTTGCGCCGTTCCGCCGACCCCAAAAAGGAGTGAGAGCGTGCGGCGATCGTGGGAGTTATCTACTGGCCTTTGGCCTATCCCGCCACGTTGCCTGTGTGGTGGGTCAGAGGCCTCTTGAGTGTTCGTTGGGATCTCGTGGTAGGCCTCTTGGGGGCTTCTTGGCGCAAGTGTTGAAGCCTCTTGGGGGCCGTTTTGGGGCCTCTTTTGGGGCTCTTGGGGGTCTCTTGGGGCTTCTTGGGGGTCTCTTGGGGGCTTCTGAGGGCCTCTTGGGGCCCTCTTGTGGCTTCCTGGGGCTCTCTTGGGGCGGAAGGCTCGATTTGTCGGTTCGTGGCCCCCCTCAGGGGCCCCTTATGGGGCCGTCTTGGGGCCCTCTTGGCTTGTCTTGGGCGCCTCTTGGACTGTCTTGGGGCTCTCTGGCGGTGGTACCTAGGGTCAGATATTCCGCTTGTTTCAATGTAAGCTTTTGGAGGCCCGCGCGAATATCTCAGGTTGGCGACGTACCCCCCTTCTGCATTGCGGTGTCCCAGGCGCCGCCTGGGTCGCGCGTCGCGCGCCTGAGGGAGTCCAGCGCCAACCTCAGAAATCCACGCAGAGCCCTTAATGCTTACGTTTCTGATGTTGATGCTTCTTCTTATGGATGAGTCCATCGCTATTCTTGCGATTGCAGTAACCTCGCTCTCTACCTGTGATCTGAATCTGGCCCCTTGTACCCTTGCCTCCCCTCAGGAGGGCGCGGGCTCCTCCTCGAGCTCCAGCTCCAGCTCGTCGTCGAGTGCTGCAAGCAGCTCCTCAGCAGGCGCGGTGGAGGGCCTGGGAGGCATTGCTACATGGACCGTGTGTATATGCTTCGATGCTCCCAAATCTTCCCAGTCTCCATCCCTATGTCCACGCCCCCCCCAAGCATTTTAGAGCCTTGACGACGCGCGCACTCGTAGAATACATGATGGGCTGCGCGTGGCAACATCAAAGCGCTGGTAAGCTGAGTCTGAGCTGAGGCAAGCTGCACTGACAACATATAGACAAACTCATTTATGTAGCCCAATAGCAACCTACTCAGGCTAACCTCCTACATCCGATGACGATCCGATCGGTGAGCACGCCATGGTAGAAGTAACAGGACTGCACAATCAAAAGTAAGCTTGCTTCTCTGCATGTGTAAAGACTGATAACAGTATAAGGGGTAAGAGTGACGCTAGGAGAACTAGTTCGGGAACGGACACGAAAGGATGGGAATGGGAGGCAGCGGCGGCGGTCCTGGAGGTGGTGGCCATGGCGCTGCTGCTGGTCCAGAGCCGCCGGGGCCGCCAGGGCCTGCGGCTGGGGGTGGGGGCGCGGCACCTGCTGCCGATGATGGTGGTGGGGACCGTAAGTTTCATGGCCGCACATACGAGCATACTTTGTGGTATGGCAAATACAAATTCACGCCAAAACGTAAGAACGGCATGACTACAGAATTCGAGTGCACTTGTTACGACCCTGAGCATGCAAAAGATGGGCGACCATGTCGAAAGAGTCGTGGCGTGCGCATTGCAGGCTCACAAGATATAGCTATCAGGCAATTGCGGTGGTGGTCCCACCAAGATTTTCCAGCTGTTTCTCATCAACAAGTGGGCAGGCCTGATTGTGGCTACCCGTTCCCAGAAGAGGGGAGCGGGCTTCCAAGTCATGAGACCCTGGATGAATGGGACGCAATTGATGCGGAATCTGATGGTGTACCTGCTGCAGCACCTGCTGCACCTGCTGCGCCAGAAGACCCCCCTGACCCTGACGATAGTAGTTCGTCGGATTAAAGGCCGTTGCAGTAGCCCCCCCTGGCCCCTCGCAGTCTCACGCCTAGGGGGCCTTGGGGGCCATGAAGTGCTCAGGGTGCTCTGGCAATTCGCAGCGTTGGATACTGCATGGGGCGTGGGGCAACCAGGAGGAGGAGGAGGGGGAGAAGTGAGGATAAGGAGGAGTAAGAGGAGGGCGTCTGGAACTTAACTGGATGTTGCCGCGGCCCCAGCGGACCTCGCTTGAGCTGTTGAGCTACTCTGCGGCCTTGCAGCCGCAGTCGCTGCAGTGTACAATGCAGGCAAGCTTTGTCACTTCTGCTATCTTTTGACTTGCCGCGGCTTTGGTGGCGAGTAGCACGCTTCAGAGTAGCAAGTTCTGGGGGCTCACGCGCGGACATACTGGCGGTGAGGCGAGCCCATGACACAGCGAGTATCCCTCACTGATGCGTTCGCCTACAGCGTGATTCCAACTTCGCCCTTAGAGCTCTCAGGCGTGCTGATCTCACCGGGAGCCCGCCCATGCCTAACGTCAACCTCGCTCCACGTTGGTTGGTTTTCATTGTTTTTGGCATGTTTTGGTAATTTTTGATTCGTGTTGCTCCAAAGCGCACAAAACCGCAACAAAATGACTCAGAAGGGGGGGCCTCGCCCATGGGGGCACTGGGAAGGCACAGGGAGTCCCTGGGAGGCCCTTGGAGGGCCAGATGGGGCCAAGTTCCGAGGTGTTCCGAGGTGTTCCGAGGTGTTCCGAGGTGTTCCGAGGTGTTCCGAGGTGTTCCGAGGTGTTCCGAGGTGTTCCGAGGTCGATGTTCCGAGGTGTTCCGAGGTGTTCCGAGGTGTTCCGAGGTTGTGCGGCGGTCTGGTCGTGGGGGGGGCGCACATGGTGATTCCTGGGGGCCCAGTCTGGCATCCAAGACGGCGGCGTGATTGCATGGGGGTCGAAATCTGCCAACCAAGACGAAAATCACCACCCCACGACGAACAGTTCCAGCAGGCTGCAAAACAAGACGAACATCAACAACATATGATGAAAACGGTCGCTCGTTGGTGTTATTTGTGTTTCTGATAATGTTTCCGCATGTTCGCACCTTCTTGTCACTCCCTGCACAATTCTGTCACCCATACGGCGGGGCTGCCCTTTTGCCAGTAAATTCAATGATGTAGTGGCTGTCTGAGCCCCCCCAGCTTTGCAATGCATGTCTCACATGTGTCTCCGGGAGCCCCTGCTTCCCGCCAACCTTATCGGCCTGGGGCCCTCTTGGAGCCCTCTTGGAGCCTTGGGGCCCTCTTGGGTGCTTTAAGAGGGCCCCAAAGACAAATGGAACAGCTCGTTTTGAAAGCCTTTCAAAACGAGCCCTGGCGATGCCCTCTTGGAGCCTTCCTGGGGCCCTCTTGGAGCCCCCTTGAAGCCTCTTGGGGCCCTCTTGTGGCCCTTTGGACCCCTGATTACGATGATGACGATGCTGATTATGAAGATGATGACGATACTGATGACGATGATGATGATGATGATGATGATGATGATGATGATGACGATGATGATGATGATGATGATGATGGCGACGATGGTGATGATGATGGAGACAAGGACGACGACGATGACGATGATGCTTATGATGATGATGACGATTATGATGATGACGACGATGATGACGATGATGACGATGCTGATGCTGATGCTGATGCTGATGATGATGATGATGATGATGATGATGATGATGATGATGATGGCGACGATGATGACAATGATGATGATGATGATGATGATGATGATGATGATGATGATGATGATGATGATGATGATGACGATGATGATGATGATGATGTTTTTCTGGTCCTGGAGGGGCCCAAGATGGCATGGCCTCAGGGCGCCCCGTGTGGGCCCCAAGTGGATGGAGACGATGGTGAGATCTGTGCGTGTGTCTATATACATATGTGTCCTGCAGTGTCCAGCGCTACATCACCAGCTCTATCAAAACGAGCTTTCCACTTGGTTGTGGGGCCCTCTTAAGGCACCCAAGAGGGCCTTGAGAGGCTCCAAGAGGGTTCCAAGAGGGCCCCAGGAAGGCTTCAAGAGGGCAGCGCCAGGGCTCGTTTTGAATCCCAATTTCACGCTCGCTCCCCTGCAACCCTACGCCCCAGGCGCCCCTCCCATCTTATCCCGCGGCCCTCCTATGCCAGTGATGTCGGAAAAAAAACACCAAAAAAGGTGCAACAGTTTTCCTTCCACCTGTGCGCTCGGGCCCCGAGGTTAGGGCTAGGGTTTCGCGCTCTTCCTTGGGCCATGTAGGGCCCCCCCCGAAGGGTCGGGTTTCCTTGGGGCCCGAGCGCACAAGTGCTGTGACCTCAGGGACCTTGTAGAAGCGAATGAGGCCAGTCCATGGTTCACTCAGCTCACGGTGATCAGAAGGACTGACACCGTCCCACACATCGCAGAAGTTGCTCTCGCCCTCGAAGGTGGACGTGGTCTCGAAATCATGGGTGACGTCAACTCGTGTCCTTCAGCGTCCGTTTTCTTCGTGTCCTTAAGCGTACGTTTTCATCGTGTTCTTAAGCGTCCGTTTTCCTCGTGTCCTTCAGCGTCCGTTTTCCTCGTGTCTTAAGCGTCCGTTTTCGTCGTGTCCTTGAGCGTCCGTTTTCCACGTGTCCTTAAGCGTCCGTTTAGCTCGTGTCCTGAAGCGTCCGCGTTCCTCGTGTCCGGAATCATTTGCGTCAGAGGCGTTTGAGCGTCCTGCATTTTGATTGGCTTCCAGGGTTTTCCTAACATCCGCCATGGCGGCGGCGCGGTCGCCGAGGAAGCGTGGCAGGCACGCAACAGGGGAGGCGGATGAGAGCGCCGCCTTGCTTTCCGAGAAGTTCGGCCCCAGCACGATCAGCGAGTTCATGTCGTACCCCAGCAAGAGTATCACGTCTCTCCTGAGTGACGCTTGCATGCGTGCAAGGAGGGGGCGGGGTTGACAATCGAAGCATGATGATAAAGTATAGATCGGGATACGCGGCCATAGCAGAGATCGTCCAGCCAAGTGGACTTGGTCATGTGGGCAATCGTGTTATGTAGTGAAGAATGCGCGCTTTTGCAAAATTCTGGTGGGCCTGTTGCAAACGACTGCGGCTCTGGCGCTCCATCGCATCACGCAATGCTCTTGGGGCCCTCTTGGGCCTCCAAGAGGGCTCCAAGAGGGCCCCAAGAGGGCACCAAAAAGGTTCCAAGAGGGCCCCAAGAGGCTCCAAGAGGGCTCCAGGGGGACCCCAAGAGGGCTCCAAGAGGAGCCCAAGAGTAGTGCATGATCATGCAATGCTCTTGGGCTCCTCTTGGGCTTCCAAGAAGGCTCCAAGAGGGCCCCCAAGGGGCCCAAAGAGGGTTCCAAGAGGGCCCCAACAGGCTCCAAGAGGGCTCCAAGAGGACCATGGCTTACATGGGCCCTCCAAGCCAGCGGCCTCGCCCCTGCAAAGCATTCCCAAAGTCAGGATTGCCAGCAGCAACAAGCAACAACACACACAAGCACATGTTGGCGGGGGGAGGGGGGCCACCCCAATCTGCTCCACCCCCCTCGCTGTTGGCGACCCCCCCAATAAATGTTCACCCCCCTCTGAGCTGATAAAGAGGCGTGCAACAGCAGAAGGAGGAGGGGGCGAGTGAAAGGGAGTGAGGCTTTTGATGAACTTGGAGCGCGGCATGAGCATCAGCTCAGACTACTCTGGCATCATGATGTTTGAGGACGCTCTGGTTATGCACATGAAGTCGCTCAAGACGGTGTCTGGCTTCGAGGGTATTCCTCTCCCCTCATTGCATCGGGCCTGCGACATTGCCCCTGCAGCGCAGCGTGTGATCTTGTCCCGTGAGATGGACCAACCAACATTCCTGTTCAATGACATTAACGACAGGCTCCCAGAGGCGATCAGGACCAAGCTAGATGAGATGGAACCGCCCACCTCTGCGGCAAGCCCTGTGAGGGAAGCAGCATATGTCGACATGCTAAGCTACCTGATGGAGAACGAATCCCTCCTCTTCGACAGATCGACGACTTCAACAGATATGCGCACAATGGGGAAGGGTCAGCTGCTCAGCCCAAGCCAAGTCGCGCGGCTCGACCACCAGGATGACTCCAGGGACCCTACTTTGAAGGATAGGTTGAACGTTCACGTGGCAGGTTCAGATTGCTTGGGCTGGACCCCCCGGGGCGGCCAACTGAGAGGCGCGCATCCTTCCAATCGGCCGCTCAATATCTACCTCACAGAGAGACGCAGCATGATGGAGAGAGGGCTGGAGGACTTGTTTGGACACGAATGCTCCCACCGCTTCCCCTCTGAGGAGAAGTTCCAGCAGGTTGCGGGGCCATCCATGGGCTTGCTTTTCTTCAAGCTCGGCCCTGAAACAATGGGCATCCCAGCTCGGCGCCCAAGAAGCTTCACCTGGGGTTACAACAAGCAGAAGCTGATGTGGGTAGGCCCCGACGACTACCAGTCTGATTTCTTGAGGTTGTTCGGCGCCACGCGTATAGCCAGTGGAGAGATGTTCTACATCGACTCCAAGGCCTGCGTCCTGGAAGACCTGGCGCGACGGGCGCAGAAGAAGGGCCTATACATCAACCCAGGAGCAGTGACTGCCAAGTTCAACTTCGAAGACGTCCTGAGTAAGCACGAGAAGGAGCGCTTGCTCGCCTTCCAGAGTGACATGGCTAAGAAGCAGACCTCCAATGATGACTACATGTTCGACCTCGAGCAGTGGCCCTCGTACACGTCATGTGGGCCATACCTTCCGGCAGTCACGAGGAACGTGACCTTGTGGTCTCAGAAACATCGGCGCCCCTCGACCGTCAGGGAGAATCTGCTTTCCCTCGGCATGCCCGCGATCGATGGGGGCCCATTGGTGGATGGCTACTTAAAGTGCCCCTTCGCCAACATGCTCAAAGATATGCCAGTCGCAGAAGCAGGGGGGCTGGTCGGAAATGGCATCGCGATGCCAGTCGTCGGTGCTATGTTCCTCTACGTTCTGTCCAACTTGATGCGCGTCGACGACATGTTGCCGTCCCCAGACAGCGTGTTCAGTGACCTCGGTGTGAAGAGAAGGCGTTCGTTTGCCTCAGTGCTCGACCTCACGATCGATGACGACGGCGATGACGCGGCGCCGAAGATGGCGTCGTCGGTCGAGGGGCCCTCTGCCTTGGGCCAGCCGAGCCAGCCAGATCATATTCCAAAGGCTCCCCAGCCCCCATTAGCGGCTCCTGAGCTCCAGTTGTCGGGTTCTTCATCTTCTAAGGAGTGCATTGCCGTAGATGATTCCCTGGATGACACTCTTCCCAGGCCAGAGCTTCCACTGCCCAGGCCAGAGTCTCCTGAGCCCTCGCCAGGGTCATTAGACCTCGCAGACACGTGTCGCGAGCCGTGGTAGGTCGCTACCAGTGGGATGTGGATGGGAAGAGGCAGGGTAGCGATAGCAGCAGGCGGCAAGAGTCCAACATAGGGGACGGGCCCCAGGGGGGGATACTGAGAGCGAGAGGGCGGGCCCCTGGGGAGGAGGAGGAGGAGGAGGAGGACGATGAGGAGGGTGGGGATACATTTTTGGTGGCCCTGGATTTTTGATTTCAGAGACAAAGGAGTCAGGGAGGAGGGAGGGGAGACGGCAGTGAGGGTGGGAAGAAGACAGGAGATCAACATGCGATTGATTGCAGAACAATATTAGCGCGTGGATCTCTGTGCGCACAGCAATGGCTTTTGAAAATGCGGAGATCCTTGTCCTCCTCCCTCCTCCCTGAGTTCAAAGTTCCCCCCCACTCTCCCAGGGACTCCCAGCCAGCAGTCGCAGGAGGCACTGGTCCTGCCATCACGCCAGCCAGTGTAGCCGCCATGAGGCCTGGGGCGATAGGGGTACTCATTCCTGGTCTGCTTTGCTGTCCTCCTCGTCCTACTCCTCGCCCAATACTCTTGGAGATGAGTGATCTCGGAGATGAGTGATGACGCCATCGTGACAGCTGATACTTCGTACTGCATACTTTGGTTTGATTGATCTTGACATCCATCATCGTGTTCATTGGATGGAGTATCTACTGGTTGCAGTCTACGGCTGGTCACTGTGATGAGTATCTCCAGTTGCCTAGCAGGCTTCGGCCTCGGCTTCTGTGAAGGCGGTGGGGACATGCGCCTCGCGCATAGCTCCACTTACTCCAACCACTAATACAGCTACTGTCCTTGCCATCGTGACGGTGGGTACTTCGTACGATATACTTTGGTTTGAGTTGCTTTGACATTCATCATCGTATTGATTGGGAATGTGGTATCTACTGGTTCAGTTCTCGACTGGTGTGTATGATGAATATCTCCAGTTGCCTGGAAGGCTTCGGCCTCGGCTTCTGTGAAGGCGGTGGGGACATACGCTCTGCGCGTATAGCTCCACTTACTCCAACCACTCACCCAGCTACCGCTGTGCCTCGTTGTCGTGCGGTGGATCGCCCTCGTGAGCGCCTGGGTCATCCAGGCCTGTGGCGGCCGCCAGCCGCGCCTGATGTTGGCGCCGCCCAGCCCTCGCCTCCTCCCCCGCTCCTCCTTGCAGTCGAACTTAGAGTGCGTTTGTTTTTCTTTCCAGCCTGGGGGGCCTGCGGCCTACCTTGAAGACCTTGGCCCCTCCCAGTGCCTTCCTGGACTTTCCCAGCTTCGGCTGGCCGCCGAGTTTAAAATTCGTGTAGTGATTCAGCTTTGTCTCGTTTTCCGTATCGTGAAACTGGTTAGCAGTTTCCTTCCATATTTCATGTTAGGCCGTTGTGCCGCCGTCCCCACGAGAAGACAGCTGAAGTCGAGAACTCTGCGCGCCTCCACGCCGCTTATCATTATTACTACTCCTCGCCCCTTCCATCCTTATCCTTCGTTTCATGCTTCGTCTGCCTGCTGCTGCTCCCTCCCTCTGACGCTAATCACCCTGCTGCCTGCACCGCAAATCACTTACTTGCCTGAGAGGCCGATCCCCCAATCCCCCTCATAGTCTTTCCATAGGCCTCAGAGACCCAAATGACCTCATTGTGTCCTTTTCGTGGGATGTTTCGTGGGGTGCAAGAGGCAGGAGGATGGGGGGCACGCGCGGCCTCCTGCAGCTGGCTGGCCAAGGGGAGTCGGCCAGGGGCGCCCCCACTGCGCGGGTTCGAGCCGCCAGAGCCGCAAGGCGCAGCAAGCACGTCTGATCATTCTGATAATTTGTCCCTCCTCCTCCTCCTCCATCCGTCCATCCGTCCATCCTCCTCCTCCTCTCCTCCTCCTCCTCCTCTTCCCTCTTCCTCCTCCACCGCCTCTTTGGCCCTCTTGGGAAATGTCCACATGCGGACGTCGCGCCTCCTTCGCTTGGCATGGGGCCTTTTCAGACAGGCGTGGGTCCCAGGTACCTGGAGCAAGTTGCTGTATATGTTGTGGCAATAGCTGCCATTTGGCCCAACTGTCAACGCTGTCACCCTTCTCTCCAGCTTTGCCCTTGACACGAGTCCGAGGGAGGCCCTTTCAACTTGGCCCCAAGTAGCGCTGAGGCATGTCGGATGCTCCCGGTGAGGTTCCGTTCTCGTTGAATGAAGTAGACGCGATGGGAATGGGAATTGACTTGAGCGGCGGTGGCTGCTGCGGCACAGGCGTCGCTGCCGCTGCTGCGGCTCAGGCGTCAGAGCAGTCTCTTTTAGACCAGTTGGGTTTCTTTGATGACCCCAACGTGTGCATCGTATGCGGCGAGCCCCGGTACATGCGTCATCGTTTCTGCAAGCCCCACAAGTCACTGGCCGAGTCCTTGCGAGTGGACGCAGAGCGACAGGACCTTGATAAGACCAAGGCCACAGGAACCAAGACGACAGAGTGTTCAGATGCGCACAAGGAGGCCATGGCAGATCCAGCGAGGTGCGTGATGAAGATGAAAATGGCAGAGGAGGCTAACCCCAGCGCGAGCAAAGGCAAGAAGCGCATCAAGTTCGACCACATGGACCATGCCCACTCGTTTCGCAAACAGAACGTGGCAGAGGACTTCAATCTGCTAAAGAAGGTCGACTTCATCGAATTCAGCACCACGATGGAAAGGAAGCGCAGATGGACACCTGCGCGTTCTTTGCAGGAGTGGGACAAGCTCAAGGACGACCCCTCGATTGGCCGAGATAACCTTGGACAAGAGAAAGGCTTTGAGCTCAGGCTGCACCTCAAAAAGGGTGACTATGTAAAGGTTGGCACTGCGTCAATCGAGGAGAAGTCGCTGACGAATACCTCCAAGAAGATGAAGTCAGCATCAGCAGACGAGTTGTCGCAGATGAGGGCAGAACTCAGCATGGGCATGCAGACGTTCGGCGGCGACTTCCACAGCGTTGGCGCCAGCAGCTCCAGCGCCAACGCGCCGAGTTTCAGTGCGCCCTTGGGGCCTGGCGCTATGCTGGCTCAGATGGCTGTGACTACCACGCCTGGCAGCTCGACCGTGCCATCAACGCCAGCAGGATCATCCATGCCTGGGACGCCAGGTTCCTTGAGCGGGGAAGCAAGGGGGTGTCTTGGATTCCTCCTCCCCCTGCTCCTCTAACTTCTCATTCCCCTTACCTCTGCCCGTCTTCTTTCCCTTGGGGTCCTGGGGCCTCCCCACTGTGATGTTCTTCTCCCAGGGCGGCCCTGTGCTTCTCCCACTTAAAGGTCGCGTGGCGTCCGCCACAGCCCAGTCATCTAGCCCAGCCGCCTCCATGGAGGGCGCGGGCGGCGGCGGCACGCCCAATGGCAAGCAGCCTCCGCCGCTGGACATGGCCCTCCGCGCCAACACGTCCAGCAAGATCGCCAGGGAGCAAGACCTCGAGATCGTGAAGTTGTGCGAGGCCGCCCTCAAGGGGCAGGAAGCCATCGAGCGCAAGGATGTGTCGATGGCCGATGACAAGGCCCACTTTGACATTGTACAGCAGCGGCTCAACATGCTCTTACTGGTGCTTCTACTGGTGCATCGGGAGCCCAACAAGGAGCTCCCTGAGGGCAAGGTTGCGTGGTGCCACCAGAGGATCCTATCCCAGGAGAAGCTCATGAAACTGTTCGTGACTTCTATCGTTGCCGACAGCCCTGCGAACGACGTGGTAGACGTCGAGAAGGAGGTTAACATCGAGCAGAACAAAATCATCTCCATGCTTGAGGGGTCAGCCTGGGGGGGGCGTGGTGAAACTCTGACACTGGCCTGGCCCTGATCACTCAGCCCTCCCATTTGTCGCTCGAGCCCTCCCTCCAAGGCATCCCCACGGGCCCCACGCCCCAGGCCTTGTTTTTCTTGGGGGTGGGTGTCCATCAAGAGATAAGTATTGCAGGTGCGGTTGCCCGCTCACTACTGTGGCGCCACTGCTGCCCTCCAGTGCTTTGCATTCGGTTTCCATGTTGGTGTTCTGGCATTCTCCTGTTTGGGGTCTACGCTGGTAGATGGCAGAATGCACGCCGCAAACATGCAACGCGTTTCAGGGGGGTCTTACCTAATGTCCCCTTTCCTACGATGCCCCCCCTATTCTGACCCCCATGAAGGTCTGCATATGTTCCAATTGAGAACCCGCAGAGCTTGAAGAACGTTGGAGTGATCGCCATGCTTGCTCACCAGGTGACAACGATGGAGAGTACAGCTACGGTGAAATCAGCTCTCAGCAACTGGGTGGAAACAAAGTTGGCGTGGAAGCAGTTGGCCAAGGCCCTGAACAAAAGCATCACTGACCTCAATGGGAACATCAAGCGGCGCTTCGACGCGCAGAAAAGAGAAGTCCGAGGCAGAGAAGAAGGAGGCGGCAGCGGCAGTGAGGCGCAGGCAGGAGGAGGAGAGGTTGGCAGCGGAGCAGAAGGCACGAGTTCGAATCAACACAGACATCTTTAAGCTCAAGGTCGAGGCGGACATGGTGGCCCCGGTGCACCGCAGCGACGCAGAGTTCTTGGATGGAGCGCCGCAGGTTGACTACACCAAGCCGTTCGTTGTCGTGAGCGCGGCCGTGCAGAACTTCGCCGAGGGGAAGCTTGCCCAGCCCATGCTGCAGAGGTTATTTCGTTTTGGAATTGGGTCCATTCGTTGGGTCTGATCCGTTCCGCATTCCAGTCGACGCTGCTGGCGATGCTCGGAAAATGGGCTTTGGCGGACAGGGGTGGGTTGCCAACTTGTTTATGCCATCGCTTGGCGGCGCGCTGAGGGGGGCAGCGGGAGGGGGGGCGCTTCTGGAAGGCAGAGTGCTATTTGGCAGCCCTCAAAGGCTTTAAAGAAACCCTTGGAGGGCCCCTAAGAAGCACACAAGCACACTGCCTCCTAAGAAGCCTTCCCCCTCCCCCTCCTCCCCTCTGCGCGACGCCGAATCTCTCTGGCTGTATTCATAAAGTGTGCAGGCACATGCTTGCAGGCGCCGAGGTCCTGGGGCCCAAACGACCCAAGCACACATGTCGGATGGTGGGTTTAGTTTTCGGAGCCGCTGTCTGGGAGAGGTCTGGAGGCCCAAGGGCGCATTTGCTATTTGATTTTAGGATATGCCAAGGTTCTTGGCTCAGTACAAGGGGGTGCCTCAGTTCAAGGACCCCACTGGGGAGGGCCGCATCTTCGCGCCCGTGTCGGCGGCGACCGTGGCCCAGGCGATGAAGAGCTTGATTCACACCTTTGTCCCAAAGGAGAACCATCCAAACATCGAGCCCACTGTTGTCGACATGAAGAAGTTAACGTGGCCATGGCTCTGGGGCATGAGGGAGGACCTCGTCCACTCCAGTCCGGAGTCTCACGGGCTGGGGTCGATCCGTATCGTTCTCGGTGGAGGGGTTTCCATAATGTGCTTGATCGGTGATGCAGCGACAGGGCTCAGTTTGGGCATAAATGTCGAGAACGCGCTGCTGGAGTCGAACATCCTTCGTTTCAGCTGCATGTCGCAAGAGGACCTCACCAAGATGAAGGGCCAGGTGTTCTACATGAGCGCGCCCACGCACAGCGTCGTCTACCTACCTCCAGGCTGCCACGTTATCATGGCACCGACCAACAAGCCGTGCAACATGTACGGATTCAAGCAGCTCGTGATGCCAGAATCGATTTCGCCTCTTCAGATGACCAAGATGATGCTTCCATGGACTTCTATTTTCTCAAACTCGTTCATGCTGAAGGATAGGAACATCCTTGATGCTATGATCAACGTCTGGGACCCAGATGGGGCCTTCCGCCAGACCAAAAGCGAAGAACTGAAGGTGAAGCAGCAGCCCCCAGATGGACTGGGTGATGGAGGTGAGCGTGGCGAGGACCTCAGCACGAGCGCGATGGCCACGCCTGTCGGAGCGCCCCCAGAGCAGCGAAGCCCAGCGTCGCCAGATCTTGAAGATCTTGATGGGGGTCGGGATCGTGCTCCTGGGCACTCGGTGGATGCGCTGTTCGATACTGGTGGAGCTGCAACTGAGGGTCCAGTGGCTGCGGCTGCACCATGTGAGCCATTGGCTCCAACAGACTTGGGCGTGGTCCAGGGTGCGTCCAATGCCACGGAGGTTCAGGAGGACGGGGAGGAGGAGGGCCGCAAGGGCACCCCAATGGACGGCGCCCATGGCCAGGCCGACCAGACGTCCAGCCAGGAGAAGGATGAGGCGTCCAGGGAGGCCGACAAGAAGTCCAAGGACGACGAGGTGATGGGCGAGGTGGGTGCGAGCGACCTGGACCAGGAGGGCGAGAACCACGGCGTGGTGACGGAGGCCGCGCTGTCCGACCAGAAGGAGGGGGCCGCGCTGGCCGACGAGGAGGCCAAGGCGGCGGCCATAGCAGCCAACCTCGGCTCGCCGGAGACGGCGGCCGCGCCGACCGACCAGGGCCCCACCGCCAGGGAGCACAAAGAGGCTGAGGCCTCGGCTGGCGGCGCGGCCGCAGGCGCCGCCAATGACTCGCTGACCATGATGGTTGACGCCACCGCGGCCTTGGCTGGTGGGGTGACGGCGGCCGCGCCGACGGATGAGGCCGCCTCAGCTGGCGGCGCGGCCGCAGGCGCGGCCGAAGCCTCGGCTCCGCCCAAGAAGAGATCCAGGGTCACGGCCGATGCCCCAACCAGCAAGGTCGCCGCTGCGGCCAAGACGCCACCTGGTGCGGCCAAGGCGCCCACCTCTTTTTCCACGGCCGCTGCGACGAAGGCCCCCTCGGTGGCCAAGGAGCTGCCCCCTGCTCCTCCAGCGCCGCCCCCTGTGGCTTCCAAGGCCGAGAGCAAGAAAGGAAAGGCGCAGCCCAAGTCCAAGGGCTCGCTGGACCCGCCGATTGCGAAGGCTTTCAGGCAGGGTTCGCGCAAAGGCAGCTAGAGGCTCAGAGCGTGGCAGTTCACGTGCGCTCGCCGATTCGATTTTGGCTTGTCGCCCGCCGCCGAATGCTGTTGCTTCTAGGGTTCATCAGTGACAGACGGAGTGCTAGGAGAAACCCTGACAATTTCTTGCGTGTCTTATCTCAAGTTAATGCACGATCCGCGCATCAATGCACGCACGCACCCACGGTGAAGCACCCATGAGTCAGGTGCTTTCCAGGCTAGCCTGTCACGACGTGGAAGCGCATGTGAGCATGCGCTAACTTATTTTGGTGGTGGCGGCGGGCGACAGCCGCTTTTTTTACTCCTCTACCTTCTCCTTCCCCTTACTCGTAATCATAATCGTTGTCAATGTCCTCCTCCTCCTCCTCCTCCTCCTCCTCCTCCTCCTCTTCCTCCGGCCTACAGCGTTGGCCCATGGCAGCTGGACCTGCGAACCAAGCCAGGCTGGGATACCTGGCGCAAGCATCGAGTCTGAAAAGCCCCACCTCTCACATCTCCATCACCCCCTCCTCATGTTCCTCCCCCCTTCTGCTCCACCTGCTCCTCTTCGCCCTCCTCGTTATTATCCTTGTCCTTGGCCTCCTGCTGCTGCTGCTCCTCCTCCTCCTCCCCTTCCTTCTTCTCTTGCCGACTCCAAGAGGGTTCGAGGAACGAGGGCCAATCGACGAAGAGGGACTGGGTCAGTCTCGTTCTCAGGCGCCTACGTTCCAGCCCCCTCGCCTTCTCACCGTCACTCAAGATGAGCCTGTCCATTCCCTCATGACAATCACCCAGGAGGAGGAGGAGGAGGAGGAGGAGGAGGAGGAGGAGGAGGAGGAGGAGGAGGAGGAGGAGGAGGAGGAGGAGGGAGGGAGGAAGAGGAGGCGGAGGGGGAAACGGAGGAGGGATCAGAGGGGTAGCTCATCCACATCCTCAGCCTCAAAATCCAACCTGCGAGGATTGCGAGGAGGGGTCAGTGCGCACCCCAAGCGACTGGCAATGTTAGGGCTCAGGGCTCGGTGGGCCCAGGACTCGGTGGCCGCTGGTCTGGTCTGGTCTGGTAGCTCTGCAGAGTCCACTGTCCTTGGAATGCTAAAGGCTCTGAGCAAACGTGAATAGACTGCTACAGGACTCGGAGAATGCGGCAACTGTGCGCCACACGCGCTGAGCGACGACGCCAGGCGTCAAGGCCCAACAGCCAAGTGCATAATGGGAAGGAGGAGGATGAATACATGTTTGCTAAGGGGCTTTCTTAGGGAGCTCGAGATGATGCCGAATTTTCATATACACTTCGCCCAAAGTGTCCGGGACAAAGGTCTTCTGGACACTTCGTCTGGGGGCCGTCTTCGGGCAGCTTTTATATAACACCTCACCCCTTTTTAGGCCTCAGCGGGACTGGAAGGGGGTGGGGCAGCGTGCACAGCAAAGGTGCTCCGTGCTAAGTAGTTGCCCTGGACCAGGCTTTCGCCTACAGCGGCGTGTTGTGCGTGCCGTGGCAGTGTGAAACATGAAATCTTCTGGCCATCGTTCAAGCTCCGTCTCAGAAGCCTCCTCCTCATTCTCCAACTCCCGCTCCTGCTCCTGCTCTTGCTCCTGCTCCTGCTGCTGCTGCTCCTCCTCCTCCTCCACTTTCTCCAACCTCCATCTCCTCTTCCTCCTGCTCTTCCTTTTGCTGCTGCTGGTGCTCCTCCTCCTCCTGTCCCCCTCCTCCTCCTCTTCTTTTCCTTCTTCCTCCCTTTCCGCGCCTTTCCTGCCCTTCCTCCTGTTGGCTTCAGCGGGTCCCAGCGCGTGTGCTGATAACCGTCAACCTTCACCCAAAACCTTGAAAAACTCCTCCGCCCCTTGCTAATGCATTAGTTCGAATTGCGATCGACGGCCGTGGCCGTGATCGCAGTGTTCGGCCGAGACCACGGCCACTTGATACGATCTGCGGGCTTTATCAGTGGCGAGGGTGGTTCGAAAAGGTACCCAAACGGTACCTAAACGAGCCCCCTGGGGCTCTGGAGGGGCCCGAAAGGGGCACGGAAGGGGACCTTTTCTGACCCCCCCATTTGTGACCCCCCCATTAAGCCACGCCCAAGCCCCCAGGTTGTTGAAGGCTCCGGGAGACCTGCCCTCGGCGACTGCGCCGCGTGCCACGCAGTCCCCCTCGTGTTCATTGCTGCCCTCTCCCAAGTAATTTGACGAAGCGGTTTTGACGATGACGCGATTTGACGAATCTTAGATTGACGAGGTTGAACTGGGATATGGTGACATTTGACGAACTTTGACGAGATTTGACGCGAGCGGCTTTTCCGAGGCATCCTCGCAAAAGTTTGACGGGATTGTGAAGAGTCGACGGCAACTCGGTGAAAATCTTGAAACGAAGATTCGTCAAATCACGTCCTAGTCAAACTAAACATCGTCAAAATATAGGGGGCGGGGAAAAGGAGACGTCGTGGACTATGCAGGGAATTGCGTTGCGACCCGAACGCGCCGCAGCCGCCAAGGGGGCCACTGCCCGGCACGCCCCTCCGAGCTCCTCCGAAATCCCCCCTCGAGGGCACGGAGCGGCCCTTTACCTTTTTTTTGGAAATCACCCTCCGAACAAATGGTTTTTCAAAGTAGGTAAGGGCCTCTGCGTTTGGAGATGTCCTGAATTGTTTGAATAGGTTTGGACAGATAAGGATGGTTTGGGCCGGTCTTGGGGCACTCTTGGGGGCCTCTGGGGGCCCTCTAGGGGGCCTCTTACAACTGTTTTGGGGCCCGTTTGGGCCCCTCCGAAGGCCCTGGCAAGGTTCAAAAAGGCCCCGAGAGGACTCCGAGAGGCCCCCAAGCGGGTCTGGAATGGCCCCCAAGCGGGCCTCAGAATCGGTCACGTAAGAGAAGCTTCGCGTGACCGCGCTGGGGGTCCTCTTGGAAACGCCTTCGGGCCTTGCACTGTCTCGGGGCCCCTTCGGACCCTGCCCGCGTCCTAAGGGCCCTCAGACGGCCCTAAGAGGGGCCCAAGACCGCCCCAAGAGGATCCCAAAAGCGGTCACGGGTTGCCTTTCTTGCGTGACCGATATTGGGGCCTTCTCGGGGCACTCGTGGAGCTGTCTTGGGGCGCTCTCGAAGCCGACTCGGGGCCCCCTCGGGCCCCCCTAGGACCAGGGCGTTCAGACGGTTCCAAGAGTGCCCCGAGACAGCTCCAAGAGGGCCCCCAGAGCGGTCACTGAGGGAACCGAAGGATGAACCCACGCCGAGACCCACCCGCAACCCACCCGCGACCCACTCGCGACCCATCGGTGCCGCAAACCACCCGAGATCCACCGCGCCGCGACCCGCCCGCGCCGCCACCAAACTGCCCAGACAACAACAGCAACAACAACAACAACAACAATTACTAGCACGTGGGGACACTCCGTTCTCACCAGTGCCAGGGTTTTCATAGGAGGCGGGCAATACCCCCACTTTGTGGGGGGGCCGGTTCAAGCTCTACCAAATTTCCAAACGACTCTTCGCCACCACCCACACCCAGCTTCCCGCCCTATGACGTTCGGACACCTCACTTCGTGGCCTGCGGACGACCTTGGCTACTACACTGGCGCATGGGTACAATGACTTGTTGTGGTAACATTTTCTGTAAGCTAGCTTAGTATACGACTTTTCCCCCTGCAATTGAAGATTTCGGCGTGCGCGCGCGAAGAAAAAACGAATGTGTCCCATATGGTATTATTTGACAGGGATGATGGCCCTGGCAGGCGCGCAACCGTTGTTGCAGAAGTTCGAAGCACGTGAAAAAGTTGCTCGCAAGAGCCCGTTTGACAGAAATGTTGCAAAAGTATTGGGTTTCCTAAGAAATCCGCAAGAGCGCGCGGGATGAATTGTTGAAACTTTTTTTTTGAAAAACCATTGGGTTTTCCATGTTTTTATGTTAAAATCGCTACGAAAACTAAGGTTTTGGAAGGATTTCGTCTTGCGCGCGCGAATGTCCACTTTACTTTATTTTTTGCAAGGGATTCTTGAAGTTTGGTTATGTTCGAACAAGACATGTCATTTTATATTGTTTTTTGACAGGGAAAGCGGGCGTCAACAAAACAACCGGATCCGGACTCCCCCGTTTTGCCTGAGACTTCCTCACGAAAATGATGAAAATGTGGCTGCGGCCTAGGCGCGGCGAGGGGGGCGTGCACCAGGGGGCCCAACAATAATTATTATTTAGAAGTAAGAAATTTTCAACAATTACTAGCACGTGGGGACACACCGTTCTCACCAGTGCCAGGGTTTTCATAGAAGGCGGGCAATACCCCCACTTTGTGGGGGGGCCGGTTCAAGCTCTACCAAATTTCCAAACGACTCTTCGCCACCACCCACACCCAGCTTCCCGCCCTATGACGTTCGGACACTTCACTTCGTGGCATGCGGACGACCGTGGCTACTATTCAGGGCCCCGCGGCCGACGACGACGGCGTGCGCGCGCGAAGAAAAAACGAATGTGTCCCGCATGGTATTATTTGACAGGGATGATGGCCCTGGCAGGTGCGCAACCGTTGTGCAGAAGTTCGAAAAAGTTGCTCGCAAAAGCCCGTTTGACAGAAATGATTAAAAAGTGTTGGGTTTCCTACGAATCCGCAAGAGCGCGCGGGATGAAATTTTGACATTTTTTTTTGAAAAACCATTGGTTTTTTGATGTTTTTATGTTAAAATCGCTACGAAAACTAAGGTTTTGGAAGGATTTCGTCTTGCGCGCGCGAATGTCCACTTTACTTTATTTTTTGCAAGGGATTCTTGAAGTTTGGTTATGTTAGAACAAGAAATGTCCACTTTAGCTATTTTTTGCAAGGGAAAACCGATCGTAACAACACAACCGGATCCGGACCAACCCGTTTTGCTTGAGACTTCCTCACGAAAATGATGAAAATGAGGCTGCGGCCTAGGCGCGGCGGGGGGGTCGTGCACCAGGGGCCCCAACAATAATTATTCTTTAGAAGTAACTGTTCAACAATTACTAGCACGTGGGGACACTCCGTTCTCACCAGTGCCAGGGTTTTCATAGGA